ATAAAGATATTTTAAAAATTGTCTTTTCTATTATATAGTCCTCTTTACTATATCTCTCCCTCTGTTAGTGCCTTTGTTACTCTAAGAAATGTCTATCTGCCCAAACTCCCCTGTTTTAGGTTAACAACATATCTACCCCTGGCATTTGTGCTAGAATTGTAAGCCTCCATTATTGATGCTGTCTCTGACATTGTGTTCATGCTCTGTGGCTGTTTTAACATATGACCAAAATTCTGGTTCCTTAAAGCAACATAAATTTATTAGTTTCCAGTTCTGAAGTCAGAAATATGACATGGAACTCCTTGACCTTTCACAAGCTGTCAGCAGGGCTGGGTTTCTCTCTGAGGCTCTGGGGTGAATGGACCTTCTTATTGGTCTCAGCACTTAATGCCTGTCTCCATTTATTGGTTTATGAGACCCTTCCCTTTTCGAAACCAACAAGATCAAGTTAAGGCCCCACCCTGACTCTGACCTTTTTTTTTCTAGTTTTGTTTACTTATTTTTACTTACTTTTGTATCCAATTGTGTATATGCATACTTGTTCACTATTACCCACCACACACAAACACACACACGCACACACACACACACACACACACACATACAAAAAAACAAAGCCTCGCCGTTTTCATTCCTTCCTTCCTCTTTTCTGATTCAACATAAAATGCACTGCATTTTGAAATTATTGTCTCATAAATTTATCAGATCTTGCTGGTCTGTGGACAGTTAAACACTGCTTGGCTTTTGAGATGTTTCCACCGTATTATCGTTGCAAGCTTTCCCCTTAAAAGCTACAGAATTTGGGTAATTTCATACCCAGCTTTTGCCCAGGTGCATTCTGGTTCTTATCCTGTCTGCTCTTAAAAATCAACACTTGCAGTAGATACAGATGGAGAAAAATCCCAGAGGTCAGAAGCCTTAGCATGTCACAGTTTGGTGCTCATGGAACTGCCTGCCCTTTGCACAGAACAGCTTCCTGTTTCCTCTGATTTTTATCATTGATTCTGGCCTGCGTTCATCCTAAGAATGAATATTGAAGCTGGATTTTATAAAATTATAAATGGTCTCTATTGAACATAATATGTTGTCATTTTTTTTATTTATTGACTCAAAATTTCCTGTTAGAATATATTTTTGTTTCCCTGATGGATTCTTAGCGAGCATTTAATTTACCTTTATAATCATTTCTACTATTATTACTTAACCACTTAGGGTTAAAACTTAAATTTTTCTCTCTGGAATGAGGATGTGGAGAGATGAAAATAGCCAATATTTTTAAATTCATAAATCAAGAGCTAGCCTTCAACCCTCATTTGGTTGATTGAGTTGAGTCAGCAGTGGACTAACCTTCTAATGAAATCAAAGCCTTCATAATCCAACCACCTATAAACACTGAACACTGATGACCTGAGGACCTTTATGCTCAGTAATACCCTTGGTATAGATCATTGACATGACTGGGCTTTGTTTTTGTTTTTGTTTTAATCAATATCTGATCCATGAACATGAAGAGGCAGGCATGGGCTACTTGTTCTGGGACAGCCTACTAGCAGAATAAAATAATTCTAAAGTATTTGCTCCATGAAACCAAATGTCACTGAAGAAATGACAGCCCACCTCTTAGCACTCCCACATTTGAGAGACAAATCTGGACTTCAAGCCCAAGCAGACTGTGAGGAGGCACTCAGAACACCCACTGGGATGTTCTTAGACAAAGCTGAATAGAGAGCAGGATACTTATGGCCATTGAGAGACATGCCGGAGAAGGACCACTAAAGGCCCCCTCAGGAACTGGGACTTATTTCTCTTCCTCCCTCCAGACACTAATGAGATGACCTCACTAAGTGATGACAGAATTCTCAGTAGCACTACTCGGTGGCATGGGGGACATTGTCCCGACTGCCACATTGTCAATACTGAAGAGCAGAGGATAGAGGAGCAAAAATGATTTATCTGCTTCAATGGAGGATTCAGGCAAGGCCACATGGGACAACGTCTACACCTGCCTCCTGAAATTGTACTTCAAAACAGCCTTTCAACAAATTCTCCTGGTGCAGCTGACAACCAAGGGCAGTTAAAGATGGATCTGGCATAAACCTCAAACTTATTCAGATGGATGATGATATTTAAAATAATATCTAGTCTGTATAACTTTGAGAAAGGAGAAAATTCTTTCAAATTATGAAAAAACTCAGTTTTTATATTAACACAAGACCTGTGATACATGCTTCAAAGAAAGTATTAGCTGATTTTAGTTTAAAAAATTAAATATTTACATTTTTACCCTGGATGGAATAAATTGAATAGATCTTATTGGTGGATGGGACAGGGGTTTGGAGAGGCTCAGATAGAGAAGGAAGATTGGGTTGTGTGTGTTGGGGAATGCCAGGAGTGACAGAAAAAATGTAGAATAATATGAGGGGCAGTAGGGAAACCTAACCTAGTAGAAACTTCCTAATGAAGTCTCCAAACTATGAAGGAAATGGAGTACAAACTGGCTATCTCTTGTCACCAAACGAAACTTCCCTTTGGGGGACTAGATCACACCCAATTGTGTTGTTTGCCAAAGGGGTTCTATGGAAATTCTGAACAGTCCAGGGTGTTGCCAAGACCATAAGCTGCTCCCCAGAAACAACTCATTGAACATGAAGAAACTGAGATGGTGCCTACATGGAATGTTCTGTTTACCCCCACATTCTAGTGTCTTTGATACAAGAAGGGTACTCTGCATGCTATCAAAAGGGAATGTAAGCACCAATACGGCTTTAATACCTTTGATCTACAAGCGTCTTTCCTGCAAAATACACTAGGGCAATGGTGATGCAAACGTTGTGAAGTAACCACAAGCTTTCAACCAATGTCTGAATGCCCACTCCAAAAGATGGAACCCATACCCAATGGAACCAGGGTGAACAAGAACCAGAGACTAGGTGGCACAAAGACCTAGGATAGGACCAAATGTTATTTGTCTAAACAAAGAAACAAAAAAAATAACAATAAAATTACAGCTCTTGATATTCTACTATAGCCATAGATTGGTGCCTTGTTCTGTCATCATCAAAGAGGATTCTTCCTGCAACAGGAGGGAACAAACACAGAGACCAACAATCAGACATTATGCAGAGAGACAGAGACTTTGGAAGAATACACAACTCTAAATGAGATGTCTCCATCAAATCCCTCCCTTCAGAGCTCAGAGAACCCTGAGGAAGAGGAGCCTGAAGGAGTTTGGGAGCTATAGGGGATAGAGAACACCAGGAGTGTCAAAACACTCTGAATTCATTATGCAAAGCTCAAATAAACTCACAGAGACTGAAGCAGAAAACACAGGGCCTACATGGTTGTACCTATACATACATACACATTCGTGTGTGTGTGCATGTGCGTGCGTGTGTGTGTGTGTGTGTGTGTGTGAGAGAGAGAGAGAGAGAGAGAGAGAGAGAGAGAGAGAGAGAGAGAGAGAGAGAGAGAGAGAGTATAACAGCTCATAGTACTTTTATGGGACTCCTGAATCTGAAAACGAGTGAGAGTCTATTTGTTATGTCTTCCTTTGGTTCTCTTTTGCTCATTTGGGTTTTCCTTGTCCAATTATGATGAGATTGTTTTGTTTTTCTTTTATATTTAAAATTAAAAGTTAAAATATTAACAGTTAAAAATTATTTTCGTCTTCTGAGACAGAGTTCTCTGTAGCTGTGGAGCCTGTCCTGAAACTCGATATGTAGACCAGGCTGGCCTAGGACCCACAAAGATCTTCCTGCCTCTGCCTCCCAAGTGCTGGAATTAAAGGCTTGTGCCACCACCACCCAGCTAATACTGTGATTTTCTTTCTTAATATTTAAAATAAATAAATAAGTAGAAAATACCTTTAAAAAATCAGAATGCACAAGGAATGAGGAGAAAAACCGGTGAGCATCAGCTCCCCATGGCCTTTGTCTCTGTTCTGGACTCTAAGTTCCAGCCCTGCTTGAATTCCTGACTTGACTTCCTGAAATAGGTTGTGACTTGAGATATTTAATGATCACTTCTCTCCAAAAAATAAAACAGCAAAAAGATTTCATTTTAAATTCTTAATTTACTGTGCATAGAAAGATAAAATGGACTTGGCTATAATGGGCAGAGTATATTACCAGGAAGGAGGTTCTGAAGGTAGAGCATAGATGCTTATATTTTGTTCTTCATTCTATATTGTATTTTTTTGAGAATCCAAGAATAGTTCATAGTATCTTTTTTCTGTATCTGCAATTATCTCAAAATAAGAGACATTATACATTAAATTTCAATAGAAGTATTCAGAATGAATCCACGACAAACAAAAGATAAATATTTCTCCTCTGGTCGCCCACAGAAATGGAAAAAAAATCCTGAGTCTCATAAGTCATTTTGCAAACCAAGGCAACTGCTATTCAGTCTTCTGGTTAGATCAAGTCTAGCATCTTTTCCTTATCAGATAAGGTTTATGTGGTCCCCGAAGATGCTGTGACATTGGGGATTTAAAACCAGAGCATGGCCTACGTGACGGTTCTGCTCACCTCATGCATCAACCTAACATCATGGTATGTCCAGGAGAGCATATCCTCAAAGGGGTAAGGAGGAAGGAGGAGGAGGAGAAAAACAGAGGAAGAAGATGAGCATAAGGAGGAGAAGGGGGGGAGTGTGCGGAAGAGGAGGAGCATGGGGCAAATTAGGAATATGATGAGAAGGAGCTGGTGAAGGAGGAGCTTGGGGAAGAAGATTGACATGAGGAATTAGAGCAAAGGGAGGAAGAGTAGAAGGAGGAGAAGTAGGAAAAGCATGGGGAAGGGGAGGAAAATGAGAGATGTAGGAGAACGAGTTGAAGGAGAAGGAAGGAGAGACAATGACTGACTTTTCAGATTCCAGTAGCACAGTTGATTGACATGGGGAAACGAGACGCAGAATGTGGGGTCAAGGAGACAGTCAGTGAGCAACAATAGCTTAAATGCTATACCATAAAACCGAATCATTCATACTGGAGTCGTTACCTTACTTGTTTGCCAGAGTTAGTGGAATCAGGCTACAGAATTCCAGTGCCAAACATCAATTTATTTCTGGTCTCATTAATCACAGAGAAAGTCATTTACCGTCTTCTTCACCTTTCAGGTTCTCTCAGACCCTCTTTCTCAGCGTCACCGAGAAACATGTCACTTTGGCATGTGATGGGAGATGCCATTCTGTAAATCTGTCTCTTATTGGTTGTTGAACAAATCACTGTTGGCCAATAGGGAAGTAAGATAGGCGGGACTAGGAGTCGATCAGGATTCTGGGAAAGAGAAACACAAGGAGTCATCATGTAGCTGCCATAGGGGTAAGAAGTCTGGACCCTTTTCTCCGGTAAGAGAAATACTTAGATTAACAATTATGGAGTAAATACTTAAGTCATAGCTAGCCAGTAAGAAACAAGCAAGGCCAACAGCTTCATAATTAATACAGCGTGGCAGAGCCCAGGCAACTGGTGGGGAAAAACCAAAGCATCTGACAAGGAAAAGGCTTCTCTCTACAGGCATGCGCTCTTGAGCATTATTCCTTACAGATCTCATAGACTGTGTTTGATTTTTGTTAGGTTTTCTGGAGACAATGCCTCCATATGCAGCCTAATTGTTCTGCCTCAGCCTCTTAGAGGCTGCAGTTACAGAATGTACTACTATTGGGTTTATGCTTTACAAGTACAACTATGCATATAATTGAGTTGCCCTTTGAACTGACTCACATGCCCTTATGTCAACTCCAAATACTGCTTAAGACCATTCTGATTTTTCTCACATTGTTAAAGGTACACAATTCTTTTAAATATGAAAAATAAGCTTTTGTTGAGTAAGAAATCCTTCTTCAACATTGAATGATAAAATATATGAAAAAAAAAAACAAAAGCAAAATGTTAGAAATCTACCAGAAGAATAGGACTTGAAATCAGGAGGAGTTACACAAAGTCAGAGGTTTCCCAACACATTTCATGTTTAGGAAACAAATTTTCGCAAGGCAGCCAGAGCAAGAAACATCTGCTAATTTTCTCCAAGAAGTGCTCGTTTTCAGACATTTCATTCTTTTCAAAGTAGCTTTATCCAGAAAAGTATTCACTAATACAACATAATTTTCATAAATTTGAACATCATTAGTAATTTCAGAAATAATTAAATGATATAGCAAGTAATAGCACACCAAATTTTTTGTAGCTTATTTTTAGTTGGTGTCAGTTACTAATTAAAAAATAAAATAACAGGGATGGTTTAGTATTCAGCGGAGCTTGCTACCCAAATCATGAGGATCAGATCGTAACACCAATTTTATGTGGGTCACAAATTCCTGCTACAAGGTATTTACTTGAATCCATTGTGACAGTCCCTGCTGATGCTTTGCTGAAATTTTTGACACTGTGAGACAAAGTGAATCTTTTCCCTTTAAGTATGTTTTTCTCGATATTCTGTCTCACTGACAACAAGCTAAGGTAGATCCCAAGCTAGTCTACCTTCCTTAGACTTTTTGATATCTTTTTATATTTGCCTTACAAATGGCAGATATGCTTTGGTTGCATTTAATGACAGGAATAAAGAAAGGATGTTGTATCCCCATTTTCGGAATCACCTGATGGTATTTTAAGATCTGTATATGATCTCCCTACTAGGTAGGTCTTAGAATCTTAGGAACAGATGTCTGAGCCCCGAGGCCTGATGTGTAGATGGTGGCTTCCCTGTGGCTTGTGACTTGCTCATTTGCCCCTTAGGGTATGTTGGTAAAGGTCACCTCTGTTGTCATCTTCAGATAATATATGAGACATGAGAAAAGACTCAACCCGCAATGGTGGAGTCCTGTCGTTGTTTTCTTTAAGTACAAGAAGGGTATAAGTGAAGAGGACTATCACAAGTAATTTTGGCAAAGGACTGACCAATAAAAAGAACACAATAAAATTGAAAGTAGCTGTATTCCACAACCTTTTGGGCTGAGGAAAGTTGGTACAGGAAAGAATGAGAAGCCAATACCAATGCGATTATTGTGAGGAACGTGGTTAAAACCCACTGCCTGAGTTGTATATTGTGAGATGCTTTTCCCAAATCCTCCCTCCAGCAGTCCTTGTTGCTGCTCACCTTTAATGTCCCTTGTTTCTACTTTTTGTCACTAAATAATAAATAATTGAATAGTTTAGACACTCTGGAGGCCTTGTATTTTGACACACCATCTTGCTATGTAGCCCAGGCTAGTCTAAAACCTTGTAGACTTTCTTCTCTCGGTCTCCTGAGTACTGGGGTGACAGCTCTGCACCACTAAGCATAACACATTGTAACCGTGGAAAATATTTCACAGAGTCTTTCATTTTCACCTTGGCTTATATTTTCCTTTCTCTTCTTGCTGCTTCTGTCTCTTGCTTTATTGGCAGTGGCACAATAGCAGAGTTACGGACAGAGTACTAGTGGAATATTTTAGAACCTTCTACTTCCCAGTCCCAATCACAGTGAAGATTCACACAATGCTTCCTACGTCTTCCAGTAAGTGGGAGTGGCTGGCAGACACTACGTTAGAAGTAGAAGACTGATGTGTATGGATGTACTGGTATGCATACTTACACATTTCCCAATTTAAATGCAATTATATTGTGCAAAGACAGCCTTGAAATATTTACATAGAACTTACTTTAGAGCTATGAAATATTTACATAGCAGGGCCTCTGACTCATTTCAAATTGCTGCCTCAAGTATGTTCTGGAGGGCCTTTTGGCATTTAGAGTTCCTCATTATTTCCTTCTTTCAGAGGCAAGTGTCAAAGGTGACTATTGAAAATCGTAGTAGGAGCACTCACTTCTGCAGGCAGGATGGCTCAGGATGGAAAGTGATCTTCACAGGGAAGGACTGGAGAAAAGAACAGATACCAAGACCCTAGAAGTTGCTAATGCAAAAATCACAGCTCTCACCTCAAAGGAGATAAGAGGTGGGTATTTTTTAGGGGGGGAGCCCATATGAGTGAGCACAGCCTGGAAACACAGATTCACATTAGATCAACCAAATTTTCCAACATAGTAACAGTTGGATGAGGTTTTACAGAAACAGAGCAAAGGAATCACTAATCAGGGCACCTCTCAAATGCTTTGGTGGAGGCATTAGGTGGGTGGGTTAAAAAGAAAAGTGTGGAAATATCTGCTATGGGCCTCATATGAGCTCTGGTCTCACTCTTACCTTCTGCTTCATAGGAGCTAGGTGTCATTTTGTATGTGGTGAAGGATTTATATGTTGTTCACATGTATGTGATCTCACACAGAGGCCCAAACAATAGATAGCCACTGAGAAGGCTGAAGTTAGCACAAGACAGTTTGGCTCTGTGCCTGTAACAGTCATTGCAGTTGTAATCCTGTAACGTTTGCAGAAGGTCCAGTGGAAGCAAATTATTTCAGAACTTTTGTTTACAAATTCTAGATAAGATCACGATGTCCATTAATGTTAACATAGAAAGTGAATTGGTGAAAGGCATCCTTGAAGTCAGTTTTGAATGCTATCTCCGTGTGGTCATTTTCCTTGACTCTGGGCAGTTTCCTGCATCTTCCCAGTGCTTATAGCTTCATTGCTATCAAGCTAAGCAATGGTGACAATATCATTGCCCTCTACCATTCAGACAGCCCTGGATGCATGTGCATACAAGCAATACGACAGGAAATCACTAGGTAGTATAACAGTAAAGTATTATAAAGAAATCATGAGTTTTGGAGAAGAAAAATAGGGGAGCAGTTGAGGGGATCAAGATGACTGGGAGAGTAGATATAGTGCTTACATTTGAAGGTCACACAGCACATACAAAATTTAGAAAGATGAAAAGAACAAAACACAGGACATTTCTGGCATATACCTCCTAGGATCCTGAATATATGAGTTCTTTTGTTTGGATTTCCTTTTGAGAATGGCTTATATTAAAAACTCTATTAAGATTGGCAAAATGTTTAGGAAGAGACCAGAAAAAAAAAACATCCTCACAGTAGAACAGAAAGTGGGGAAGTCTGTAAATTTGATTATTTTCCTCAAGTGCTGTTTTTCCATGCTGTATATTTTAATCACATTCTTTCTCCTTCCACAAGTCGTCCCAGATCCTCCCCAACTCAACTTCATGTTTTTTCTCTCTCTTAAACAAAAAGAAAACTCAAGCCAGAGCAAGTAAACAGACAAACAAAATAACATTACGCATACAAACATCAAGTCCAATTCCTATTGGCTAACTACTCCTGAGCATGGGTCCTGCCCTAGAATGTGATTGGATATACCCAGTATCACTCACTGGTGAAAACTGATTTTTATCTCTCCCAGTAGCTATAAACTGTAGAAAGATTCTCCGTTATAGGTGGTACTTTGTATCAACTTCCTTTTCTCCATGCTAGGAGTTTGTACTGCATGAATGTGTGTAGGTCTTGTGTATGTTGACAAAGTCTCTATGAGTTTTTAATATGCTTCATGACTGTTCTTCTGGAAAACAGTTTCCTTGGAGCTATCCCTCTCTACAGCTGGATTCCAGGAGTTCAGCACAATGTTTAAGCTGTGGGTGTCAGCTTCTGCTTCCATCAGCTACTGGATGAAGGTCTAGGATGGCATTTAAGTTAACCATTAATCTCCTAATAGGGGAAGGGCATTTAAGGTAGCTCCCCACTATTGCTTAGGTTCTTAGTTGAGGTCATTCTTGTGGATCTCTGGACATTTGTGTAGTGCTAGATGTTTTCTTTAAACCTATAATGGCTCCCTCTATTAAGGTATCTCTTTTCTTCCTCCCCTCTGTTCTTCCCCAAATCAGTCTTTCTGATCTCTCATGGCCTCCTCTTGCCTCCTCTTCTCCCCTTCTCTGTTTCCTACCACCCTCCACCCTCTACCAGCCACCCATGCTCCCAATTTGCTCAGGAACTCTTGTCTCTTTCTCCTTCTCTCTTAGGGTCCTCCTTGTTTTCTAGCTTCTCTGAGGGTGTAGACTATAGGCAGGTAATCCTTTGCTCTATATCTAATATCCATATATGAGTGAGTACATACCATGCTTTTCTTTCTGTGACTGGGTTACCTCACTCAGGATGATTTCTTCTAGGTCCATCTATTTGCCTGCAAGTTTCATGATTTCATTGTTTTTTTCCATGGAGCAATACTTTATTGTATAAGCAAAACATATTTTCTCCATCAACAGTCAATAAGACAAAACAGCAGTCCACAGAATAGGAAAAGATCTTCACATGTGACAGTGGGCTAATTTCCAAAATATACAAAGAACTCAAGAATCTAGCCACCAAAACACCAAATATTCCAATTTAAA